CATCAGTATCATCATAATGATCCTCGCCAGCATCATCATCATCATCGTCATCAGCATCAGCATCAGCATCAGCAGCATCATCAGCATCATCAGCATCATCAACATCATCACAAGAAACAACAGCAATATCATCAATATCCCCATCCTCAGGTTTAGCATCCGCATCCTCATCATCCTCATCATCCTCATCCACATCATCCTCAGCATCCGCACCCTTATCATCATCATTAACATCGTCATCATCAGCACGCCATCACCATCATCAACAAAATCATCAGCAGCAGCATCATCACCGTCATCATCCTCATCATCATCGTCCTCATCTTCGTCCTCATTATCGCTATCGTCATCAGCATCATCATCAGCATCAAGTTCATCAGCATCATCATGATCATCGCGATCGGCATAATCATCCTGGTCACCCTCGTTATCATCATCATCATCATCATCAGCATCATCATCATCAGCATCATCATCATCAGCATCATAACCAGCATCCTCATCCTCATCATCCTCAGCATCATCCTTATCATCATCCTCATCAGCATCCTCCTCACCCTCGTCATCAACATCCTCATCATACTAACCATCCTCATCATCATTGACACCATCATCATCAGAACCAGCATCATCATCATCATCATCATCATCATCATCATCAGCAGCAGCAGCAGCAGCAGCAGCAGCAGCATCATGATCCCTAGTTACTTCCCCCTCCAAGAGAAGGCGCCCGAGAGACACACGGCTCCAGCTGCGAGGGGGGGACCGAAGGCGCAGACACAGCGCGGAGCCGCCCCGCTGCTCGGGCTGTCCTGGGGATGTGGTGAGGAGCTCGTGAGGTGGCCCGAAACACCTGGGGACGCTCGGGGCGAAATCGACCCCAGCACCAACATGCTGGGGACGCACGGGGCGAAATCGACCCCATCATCAACTTATGCTCGCTGAGATCACGTCGGCGGCTCAAGTTATATACATAATCCATACAAGTTTCGCGTGCCGATATTATGCTAATGCTACCCGAATCGATCAATAACTCATGTTGTCGTATCACCTTATATGTCACGGTTTTTGCGGTCTTAACATGACACCATAGGAAAACACAACACTGCATCAACATCTCGGACGCGAATCCAGCGGGGGATCTGCATATAGTGAACCGTTTGTTCGCGAGACAGCAGCTATCTTGATCATAGTTCACGATTTTTGTCAGGAGTGTACAATAGTCGGGGGGGGGGGGAACACGCGCCCGATGTTCAGAGTGTGGGTTACTTAACTCGATCGTCGGTGCGCTGCCGGGAGCGTCGCGACTCGCCGCGGGACGTCGATCGCCCTGCTCACCCCCATTTAGATTTGCCGTGAGTTGGTCAGGTAGAGGGTGAGAGCTCGTCGCCACGGCTGGACTCGGCTCGATTCAAACGATCGGGCGTCTGGGCGGGTCGCGGTTTCGAGCACGTTTTCGGCGCTCAACTCAGACGTTCGGGCTCCTCGAGGGCCCCCGGGTGCCCCGATGCGGGGGCCCAGCGGCGCGCGCGCGCTCGCGATGTCGATCGCGGCAGCCCTCGCGCGAGCGCTGCTGGACCACGGTGTCCTGCAGCCTGCGGCCCCTGACGGCCCACGGGTGGTGCTCCAGAGTGCTGGCGCGGTGAAGGCCGTGGCGGCGCAGGTGGCCCGCGACGTGCAGGTGCCGCGCGTAGGACGAGGGCGAGGAGGGCGAGGTAGATGAGAATGGGGGACGGATGAGGAGGGCAAAGATGCATAAAGGGGGAGGATGGGGGGAGGGAGGAGGAGGAGGAGGAGGAGGATCAGGATGATGAGGAGGAGAAGGAGAAGGAAGAGGAGGAGGAGCAGGAGGAGGCGGATGAGGAAGATAGCTATAACGAGGAATCAGGGGTGATTGAATCCGAAGGGTATGCGACTGGTACTTCCTCCCCCTCCCTCTCCTCTTCCTGCTCCTCCTCCTTCCTCCCCCGCCTTACTCAGCCTATTCGTCCCCCCTCCCACCGCCCACCTCATCTATCAATCCACCTCCCCCCCCTCATCATTCCATCCTCCGCCCTCCTCCACAACCCTCCTCATGTTCCCTCCTCCTTCTCGTCTTCCCAGGTACTCCCGCCTCCATCCACCTCGCACCTCGTCCCATCTCCCCTTCTCCCTCCTCGTTCCTCCTCCTCTCCTCCTCCGCCCCCTCCTCATCCTCATCCTCCTCTTGCTAGTCTCTCCTCCCACCTCCTCCTCCTCATCCTCATCACCCCCCCTCCTCGCTCATGCGGTTTGCTCCTCCTCCTCCTCCTCCTCCTCCTCCTCCTACTCCTCCTACTCCTCCTGCTTGCTCCTCCTTCGCAGGCGCATCGTGGATTCCCATGGGTTCCAGCGCACGCCGCGCCCTACAGCGTCGCCGACGTCGGTCTCGTGCTCCGGGAGCACTTCGGGCTCGACGTCGCCACCCACGTCGGCGCCGTCGAGGAGGCGGTGTGCACGAAGCTGGAGGCGCTCGGTCGAC